ATAACCTCTGAGTGCCGACCAGCACCATTCTCAAACATGGTCAATCTGTGTTCTTCTGTTCATGTAAAACACCAGGTTTCAGACCCATTCATACTAAAACGTTACTATCGCAAATATTCTAATCTGAATATTTTTTGGCATCACACAGGAAGACAAATGATTTTGGACATGCATGTTAGAAAGCATTCCCTGAATTTAATCTCCTACTGATTTCCTCATGAATGTAGTTCTGATTTGCTACCATCACCAAATATTTTAAATTTACATGCAGAAAACATTATCATGCATGGCATTTAAAGGTTAAAATCTCTCTTACTGAGTATTTGCAACTAATCCCAAGGCAGATTTTTTTAGCATCAGACAGTTATTATGCATGTGATCAAGAAATTCCTCACTGTTACTAAAAACCCGAACACAGCAATAATTCATATACTTCACAACACTTCATAAACTGTGTAAGACTTGAGGTTCTCACAGCGGTGAGTATGAAGATTTCCGTCTTCTGGGTTGTTGCGCTGTGTAGTCTGGTCGATGTTAACCAACGTTTCAGAGGTCATACTGCCTCTGTCATCAGGATTCATCGCCCTGATGACGGAGGCCGTATGACCTCTGAAACGTTGGTTAACATCGACCAGACTACACGGCGCAACAACCCAGAAGACGGAAATCTTCACTTCATAAACTGTAATTTTACCAAACATCAAACAATCTGAAGTGTTATGACATGAAAGAAACATACCTTTGCTTTACACATCATCATATACTGATTCCCATCTGAGCCAACGAATGAAATACGTCGTGGCTTCTGTAGTGACGGCAAGACAGTGAGTTCATCACACACCTCCTTAATGAACACTTGCTTCCTGCACGAACATTTTGAGTATTGCAATTTATTCCACTTTATGAGTTATTTAATTGGCAAGTCCCTTGCAAGTTACAATACATTTACCTTAGTTTAAACTTGTAATGAGTGAAATACCACCCTCAAAATTCTTTACTCTTGTCAGGCATCCTGAGGCCAGAGACCATAAATGAAGGTTAGAAATAAATGGTATTAGGCCAGAGACCATAAATGAAGGTTAGATATAAATGGTAAGAATGTTTTCATTCTGGAAGAACCACACTGTTTAATTTCACCCACGTCTTTACACCCCTAAACCACAGTTGACTGACACAATTATGCTAACATACATAATGGATGTACTGTAACTTTGGGACAGCCAAGCTACATAAATATCAGACACACAGTCTTCGCTGCCTGTCATTTTCATTGGACTCACACTGGAAATGGGTCATGCCCAATTATTCTGTTGTCATCTGTTGGCAATTGAATGATTGTGAACTGCTGACATGGCATCATGATGTCACTGAAATCTGGTGATTTCAGAAGACGAGGAAGTGAGCTGACTAAACTGCTCACTGTAACGTATTTCACATCCTGTAAAACATAACAAGCATTTAAATATTATTAAACGATTACAAACAGAATACCATAGTTTGACCACCACCATTATTCCCATTCATATCAGCAGTTCAGTTATATTACGTGGTGACTGTATCAAGATTAATTTAAAATTACATGTTCTAGGCCACTAGCTGATGGTGTTAATTTATTAGGGGACGATATGAACACAATAAAGAGGAACACATAAGTTTTACTAGAGGCTAGTAGACACGTGGGGCTAGAAGTAAATTCAGAAAAAACTAAGTACATGTTAGTATCTCGTCAGCAGCAGACAGGCGGGCAGAATTATCTTAGGGTGGCCAATAAGTCCTTTGAAAGGGTTACAAAGTTAAAATATCTGGGAGCAACAATAACAAATCAAAATGACGCTCATGAGGAAGTTAGGAGGAGATTAAATTAAGGAAATGCTTGCTATGTCTCAGTTCAAAATATTTTGTACTCCTCTCCCAGTATTGTCAGGGTGATTAAGTCAAGAAGAATGAGATAGGCAGGGCATGAAGCGAGCATGGATGGGACAAGAGGTGTGCACCGGGTATTGGTTGGGAAGCCTGAGGGGAAGAGACCTCTGGGGAGACCTAGACGTAGATGGGAGGATAATCTCAGGCGGGATCTATGGGAGATAGGAGTTGAAGGAGACTGGATTTTGTTGGCCCAGGAC